ATAAAACGATATTTATGGTCTCCAGTTGCTTTGTTTGGTCACGTGATCACTCACCTTTGTCTCGTTTCAGGAGGCTGGCTTCTTGTCTCCTACTTCGTGATTGACAGCTCATCCTCCCAGCTGCAGTTGTCAATAGAGACGTCATACAGAGGAATTAGCAAATATCACAATAACCAGACGTTTCTGACAAAGAGTGCCATGAATGAGCTCAGAACACACCTGTCTTTCAATCAACTGCGATTCCACTGCAGTAAACAACAGGGACGTACGTTCCATGTGACAACGGTGGCTAACAGCACTGGTGAAGCTGTAGTCCAGTACTTCAGCGGTCAGACGGATATCCAGCCCGATGCCTGTTACTCGTTTGTTAGAATGCGAAATGACAACTCGAGATTAGCAGGAGTTTGCGGTCAGTGGGGATTTAATGGTACGAACTATAACGTTGGCAAATGGGGGCATGCTCGAGATCAAGATAGATTGTATTATTACCCTGCTTTTCAAGTATTTGCTTATCACTGGGTGCTGATTCCACATGAACCAAGATGGGATTGCGATGACGGGGTTGCTGGAGTGTCTTCTGGTGATTTCTGGAAAGTCTTTGTTCGTTAAGACCTTGGTACACCGATAACTGGACAAAAGTGTTTATCTAATCTTTAATACGGACCAAAAATAGTTATAAAATAGTAATAAAATAGTAAGATAAGGCTTCTTGGTGAATGATTTGAGAGTAGGTCGTTTTAGATAGTAATTAACTTCTATAGAAGTGCGATAAACTTAACACGGGAAATCGAAAATAAAAATCCGATCGAAAATTATATCATGGATGTGTAGCTTAACAATAAAATGACATCAAATGAAATGATATAAAATAAAATGATGTTTCTTTCCTTTTTGTCGATACATTTGGACCTATAATAACCATGCATGTAATGTAAGTTGTTATGGTGACTGGCAACAAGTGAACATTCAGTCGAAAGGTGAAGCCAGGCGACCACCCACTGAAACCTCATTTTGGGTTTACATGTAAAACTACCTGTAATTTTTTTTAGCGTCATGAATTTTAATACGCAATAAACAATACAAAATTAAAATAATAAAGAGCATCACATTGTTTTATTGTAGTTTCATTCGCAAGTGTTGGAACCTCAGAAACAAGGTTCCAACACTTGCGAATACTTCCAACACTTCACCCCATGCAAGACGCAGTGCCTTAAAATTATTCCAGACTGGTGGGGACCCGTGAAAAGCCTAAAGGTTTTCATGTTTAGATATAATGGCGATTTTCTTTTCCCTTTAGAACTGACTGCATGCGATAATGAATCATTACATTCCATGCCGCCTGGCATCATCCACGGAGAGGGGGGTGGGAGCACTCCCTTATATGAGCTATATGGGTATGTGCGGCTCCAAAGGATATGGTTCATTTCAGCCGTTATGGTCAAACAGAGTATCAATTATGGCCATTTTGGTAATAAATAGGGTATGATGTTTGCACTCTAGTCTTGAAATGGGTATGTAGTTTTATAAGAAATTACTTTTTTCATCATTACCGATAAGGCCATCAACTAAAGCCCTTCACGATGCTGTTAACATCGCTCCGAACTAGGGAACTAATTGTAAGGCAGGTCTAAACCAGGGTGTTAATTCAAGAGTCAGGTCCTAAATAGAGTATCGAACTTTTGGTCAGGTCATAAATACAGTAGGGAAAATCGC